CTCTGGTACATCTGGCAACATAAGCAAGATACCTTAAAAGTAATGTTATCTCTTAAAAATTGATGCACAACCAGAAAAGGTAATAGAGAATTAGATATGAGATGAAAGGTAGTATTTTGGGGGTGAGTTCCTTATTCCATTAAATCAAAAATTTGTTACAGACAGGGACTATATCTTATTCACAGCCCTTAGCATACAGTTTTATAATATTTGTTGAACTGAATGACATATGCTTAACATTACAGAGGTATTATAAGTACCCCTCATTTCCTAAAGTTTTATATTTACAAAATGAAAATTATTTCATTTCTGGGTTTCTAAGAAATGTTCAAGTCTGGGATATGTGGCCCAAAGTGTGTGAGGGAATCATATATAGGAAGAGAAGTAAGTTCTCTTTCCCACTGATCTCTGGTCAGCTTGCCACGGTGTCAATATTCCTCCTTCAGTACCAGCTGAGGAATTTCTGCTAGTCTTTGGAAATAGAGGAGTGGGAACAGCAAGAGCTCTGTTTCTGGTTTCATTCATGTTTACAAAATGGGTTTGCATCCAACATGATATCTATTAGGTCATTAATCAAAATAACACTTTTAAAGGAATAGGGTTTATAGGCAATATGAAGGTACTTTCTATATTTAATATCTATAATACAAATTTTATAAGAGTCTGATTAGTAATTATGTGTCCCACTTCAATTATCTGAGGCCTCCTTACCACTGGCTGCATTCTTACACTGACTGTATAGAAAGAGGAGGCAGAGTAGACTTTCCCCAAATATACCTCAACTCAGGCTTCATGCCTGGTCTCTACTATGAATGGGGGGACATGGCAAAAAAAATGAATAGATGTTTCTCACACAGCTACTGGGTGTTACAGGTTATGGCTATCCTGATACATTCCCTGCCAGTTTCTCAGAAGGAGAGGCAGTTTACCAAGTCAGTATTGTAGCAAACTGCTAGCAACTGCTATTAGCAAATTTAAAAGAGAAACCCAGACTTAACTACTCTGTCCTCATCTTCCCCACTCCCCCTTCCAGAGGGAGATATGGAAATAAGAGTAGGCCTCTTAGGGCTGCTTCTCCTCTAGGGAAAATAAGCTCTCCATGTCGCTTACCAGTTCCACTCACAAAGCTGGGAGGCTACCTATTCAGACCCACACATGGTATTCCAGGAGCTTGCATTTTTGTAGATTGTTCTCTATGTATGCTTTTTCCCAGGACAGAATCAAGTGGGAAGACAATTCAAGGGAGAAAATTCATTTGGAGCAGAGATCCTAATCTTTTCCACAATGATCATGACTTCAGCAATAAACATGAAGAAACTTGCTAAGGGAACAGAGGACAATTTTTCAAAATTTGCCTAAGATTTCAATAATCTTCTGTTTTAGAAGATGAACAAGGAATTACACCGGAAAATAAAGAGTGGCTTTCAAAAATCATTGGCATTTTAAAAAGCACATATTTATTTGAGAGGTAGAGAAGGGAGAGGAGGAGTGGAAAGAGGAGGGGCAGGAGGAAAGAGATGGAGATCTAGAGAGGCAGAGCTCCCATCGGCCAATTCACTCCCCAAAAACTCACACGGGCTGGGACTGGCTATGACAGAAACCAGGATCTGGGAACTGGATCCAGGTTTCCCATAAAAGTGGTTGACAGCACTGCAGCTGTCAGCGTCTGCATTAGCAGGTAGCTGAAGCCAGGAGCTAGATATGAATATTGAACCCAGTTCCTCCAATATGGGACACAGACATCTTAACCTCTAAGCTAAATACCTGCCCTAAGCTTTTGAAAAAAATTTGAATCAGAGAAAAGATCTTCCATCTGCTGGTTCACTCCCCAGATGCCTACAGCAGCCAGAAACCCAGTGCCCAATCCTGGTCTCCCATGTGGGTGGTGGTATCCAGTACTTGAGCCACCATATTCTGCTTTCCAGGGTGTTCATTAGTGATGTGTAATGAATAGGCAGGCACCCAGATAGGTCTGCTGAGTTGGAAGTTGCAAGTTTCCATATATAATTCCATCCTTCTACCTGTCAATCAAAACACCCCCTTTACTGAGATGCATCTGCTTCATCTGAGGTTTAAGAGGGCACACCACGAAAATATGGATATAAAGGCGGCCCTCATGGGACTTATGGAGGTAGCATAAAATTCCCAGGAGGCTTCACATCTGCAGGGGCACCACCCCGTATCTCATAAAAGAAGCCAAAAACTGGGGGAAGCTCTGTTACCATAGACCGTGCCTGGAGGTGCCTCACAGGTGTCTTGGTCTCTCCTCCTCCACCCCTTCTCCCTTGGGGCACTCCTCTGGCCCACGGCCCACTCATGATGGATATTTCTCCATGTGGAGCAACCCAAGCTCATGATTGCATACATGTTCACTTTCTCACCTACTGAAAGAAGTTTGTTATCACTTAGCATACCTTATACGTGTCTGCACTTAGAACACTTGTCTCTGCGTGAGACAAGAGCCTGGAGTAACAATTAATACACCTTAGCTCACATCATTAGAAGGAAGCTGGATCAGAAGCAGAGGAGCCAGGATTCAAATCAAGCACTCTGATATGGGATTAGGGTTAAGTGGTAAACTAACCTCTCTACCAAAAGCCTACCTCAATCATTTTTAACTATCATTGTGAGATAATAGAATCAATCAGCAAAATATATTCTGCTTTCATATTAGGGCAATTAGTATGAATGCTAAGATATGCAGTTCATTATCCTTTACTAATTCAACATTTACATATTTCTGTAATAGTATTTTGCCTCATTAGAAATCATTAATCTATCTTTGAAATGCTGACTTTTTGAAGAAAACCTTATGCCACTACTTTATATATCCTTTTCCCTATTCTATATTTGCTCTTTGTACCCTCATTCTCTCCCCACTTCTAATTCTCCCCTTTCTCTTTTATATCTCTTTGTCTTATTAAAGTGGTGCCAGAAAAACTCAAGGACCCCTCTTAAGACTACAAGATTTGCTAGCCCCAAGTTTAGGAATCCAATCTAAAAATTGAATAATGACTTCCTGGGTTTGCCTTCAACCCAGATCTAAATTCAAAGACTACCACAGACAAGAACTCAATGCTGAGATCGAGGAGATAAGGTGGAAGCCATCAGAGAAATGATGGTCTCTGAAACTACAAGCAAACAAATAAAATTAAACAATCAGTATTTGGGATTTCTTCCAGAATTAGAAGGCAATGAAAAGGTTTTGAAGCATTTATAATTTTAAAAACTACCCTCAGGGCAAAAAAACGTTTAAAACTTGCACGCAGACATTAAGTAAATATTTCAACAGTTTGCTGCCACACAGAAACATAAAGTGAAAAATACTGTTTGAGTACTAGTTATAGCATTAAATCTCAATGTACAGCACACTAAGGACAAAGATCCTACATGAGGAGTAAGTGCGCAGTGACTCCTGTTGTTGACTTAACAAATTGACACTCTTGTTTATGGCCTCAGTAATCACCCTAGGCTCTTGTCATGAGCTGCCAAGGCTATGGAAGCCCCCTGAGTTCACCGACTCTGATCATATTTAGACAAGGCCATGGTCAAAGTGGAGGTTCTCTCCTCCCTTCAGAGAAAGGTACCTCCTTCTTTGATGACCCATTCTTTCCACTGCACGCAGAAAGTACACCGAGACAAGGAAGTTCACTGCTAAGCCACTAGCAATGGGGCAGCAAGGGAACTCCTTATGGCCATCTGAGACCGAAGGTCGAGTTCTGTGAAAGTGAACGAACACAGTTATTCTCAGGGCACTGGAAATAAGCTAGATGTTCTCTCGAAACCCTTTTCCTGTTTTTATCTTATGTTGAAATCATTTATTCCAAACAGCAAACAGAAACCCATGCTTAACAGGAAAACAACCTAAGGCAGGTAGCAAACAAGGAAAAGTCATATTAATTTGCTTTTACGCTGTCAACATAGGCCACTTCTAAAGTTTTTATTTTAGGTTGTCATCAAATCAACTACTTTTCAAGTTTCACTGCATGCCGCCATCATACAACCAAATGAACACGTTTAGTTCCTCAAATCCTTCAGGTTTCTCATTCATCATTTCAATCCTTTGCATGTGTGACACCAATATCTGTTACACTAACCTCTTCCTTAGAGTAACTCCACGTCATCTCCTGGAACACCCCAGACTACATCAAAGTTCCCTTCCTATCTGTGCTCACTTTTATACCCCTCATCATAACCCTCACTTACTACTTCACCCTAATTAGTTCTTCAGCCTAATCATCCCATTAGACTTAAGTGCAAGAGGGCATCTGAAGGACCTGGAATAGTATCTGACAAGCAGGAAATGCCAATTAAAATTTCCTTCAAGACTAAATTCCATACAGGGACTTAAGAATCTGTCCAAAAACCAACTCTCCAGCTTCCCTGTTTATTATTCTTACACTTACTTCGATTCAACTTACCTCTTCACAAGCTGGTTCCCCTTACTGGAATGCTGATCACTGCTTGTGCCCCAAAAGATTATTACCCACTCATCTTTCAGGTCAGAACCCAATAGGCTGCTAAGAAAAGATCAGCTGTTTTATTACCACGCCCCTCCCTCCCCCGGATTTCACAACAACTACACTTCTCCACCCCTAATCAACCCCAAGTGTATTTCTTTCAGGTGAGTGCTCAATCTTCAAAAAGAAAACGCCCTTTTATTCCCGCCCACATCAGCTGTATCTCTATACCTAGCACCTACAAGCAGTGGCTGGTAACGAAAAGGTGGCGAGGAGAGAAGTGCTGACTTAGCCTCCAAGTACCTATCAGCCTTTTGAATCTGTAAGCAATTTAACCCTCTAGACAAAGGATACCTTCTGTGCGTGCGGTTAAAGGGTGTACTGCGGCTGCAAAAACTAGCGTAAAACAACCAACAGTAACTTTTATCGGTGAAAAGTTGGCTGCACGAAACCAGATGGTTTAAGAAACGTCTGTTAAGCAAGATCATGTATGTAATACAAAAGGGAAGGGACAATTACGGAGGTTCCAGGGATTATTACCTTAGTACGGGGCTTTGAAATTATTCACAAGTGAAATTAGAGCGTTGGCAACAAGCCTCCTTATCCCTTTGCAAACGTTAAAAAGTCACCATTTTCCCACGTTCTCTGCAAAGTTCCACTCTTGCCCCGGCGCCCTACTTCACCTCGCAACGTCGGTCCGCGGCGCTCGGCCCTGCGCCCCCACGGCCAGCAGAGGGCAGTGAGCCTGCGCTGCGACTTCGCGGACAGCGGGCAGCCGGGCCGCGCGGCTCACAGCCTGGAATCGCTTGGCACAGCCCTAGAGTCCGCACCACGGCGACATGTTTAGGACTCTCTTCCCGATGACACCAAAGGTGAATCCGTAGGACCAGAAAGCACGGACGCAGGACCCTGCAGCCGGCGGCGGTGACTTCCCCTTCCGCTCTCCCGCGACCCCCTTCCGCTTCCCGGCACCCCCACTTCCGCCTTCCTGGTCTCCCTTTCGCTCCTGCAAGATCCTCTTCCGCCCGCCTCAGTCCACTGAGGACTCCGTGGCGACTCCCTCCGGCCTCACGGCGCCCGCGCTCCGCTCCCCACGTGCTCTTTCTCATCCCAGCGCCCTGTGACCCCGGAAGACCCGTCCCCACAGCGAGATGCGCCTTTCTCCTGGGCCACTTTACCCGATTGTACCGTCAGCGGACCCGGTTGCAAGCGAGCCCAGCACTGCGGGCTGTTTTGTGCTTGCTTGGAATTTTTTGGCTCTGGGATCGTGGTCAGCGAACCTGGCTTAGTTTCCTGTCCCGCGCTCTTAGCCGGGGAAGAAGGAGAGGGCGAGAAGGCAGTTTCTAGGAATAATGGACGGGGAGCCGAGGGAAAAATACTGATGCTGAGGGGAAAATAGGTATTTTTTGACATTTAAAAAACTGTATACTGACAATCTGCCCTGAGTGTGACGTGTTCTTTATACAGCTCCGTAATGTTAAAATTCTGTGCTAAAACCTATTTTATGGTGCAGACAGGTAGTAGTTTGGAAGATAGCTTACAGGATTAGAGTCTTTTTTACTCAAAGACGAAGTACTGAAGGTGTATCTTGGGTAGTGGATGTCAAAGATGAATACAGCTGCATATTAAAGCGGTGGAAATAGATTTTTATGCCGTAAATACAGACAGTAGGAGAAAGAGTGTCATTCTAGTTGGTGTAGAGGTAATTTGGCCCTTAAGGGACAGTCAGTGTGGGTGCTCAGTAATGAGAGAAGTAAAGCTAGGCAAGATTAATTGGTGTAAATGTGATTAGGCTGGTTGTGCCTGTTAGGTTATTTACTTTGGGATTTTATTCTCCCATACATGGAGCTGGGCTTCATCCTTTTCAAAGGAATGCCTCTTAGGTATTCGGAGAGTACTTCTGAATTGCACTAAGTAGACATTTGCTACTATAAGCCCTCTCTAGTAAATGCCTGAGACAGGAAGATCAAGGACCTGTCACTCTTTGGGTGTTGCCCAGAACAAATAGTTGTGCTTCCTCAGGTGGCATTGCAAGGAGAGCAAGTGTCATCCCAGGCACATAACTTGGTCAAGTCACTTCTGCTGGGACTTGGATGGAGTTGTAGGTAAAACTGAAATAAGTAAAGGAAGTGTTTCTAGCACAGGGAACAGAATGTGCCAAAGGAGTGAAGCAGGGATGACAGTGAAGTTTTGTGGTGCTGAGTTGTGTATGATAGAGAAGAAGTGAGAGACCAGTGTGGACTGGTAGAAGGAAGTCATTAGAAGTATTTAATTCCCATTTATTGTAAAACAGGCAAGTTAAGCCATTATGCTGTTTTGAACATGAGAGTCACTTGATTAACTGGTCTAGGAGAATTAATCTATCAGTTTGTAGAATGATGAAGGAGACAGATATATTATTTGTGCCTTAGACTTATATGTGTATATGTGGTATTGCAACCTTCCAAGGTTAGCAGCTGTGGCTAAGAAGCTCGACCTTTGAACATTTTTGTGTAGCTCTGGGATAGTATCTTCATTAAATAGAAAATAAATGTCACTTGGGGATGATATTGTCTTATTCCATGTCTTTTGTCCAACATTTTGTAGTTACCTATTGACTAAGAATTAGCTAACAAGTTGAAAAGATAACAAGTTGAGATGAGTGAAGAAAAGACGATATAAAACCTCTGATAATATGGTGCCGCAGTATCAAGGAAGGTGAAATAAGTCTACTTTTCGGCACCAGTCACATTGATGTCTCTAGGAGTATTCTCTCTCAATTTAAGAATCTGAGGTGGCTCACTTGGCTAATCCTCTGCCTGCGGCACCGGTACCCCAGGTTCTAGTCCCAGTTGGGGCGCTGGATTCTGTCCCGGTTGCTCCTCTTCCATCCAGCTCTCTGCTGTCGCCCAGGAAGGCAGTGGAGGATGGCCCAAGTGGTTGGGCCCTGCACCCACATGGGAGACCAGGAGGAAACACCTGGCTCCTGGCTTCGGATTAGCGTGGTGAGCCGGCCGCAGTGCACTGGCTGTAGCAGCCATTTGGGGGGTGAACCAACGGAAGGAAGACCTTTCTCTCTGTCTCTCTCTCTCTCTCACTAACTCTGCCTGTCAAAAAGAATCTGAGGTGAGAAGAGAGGCCTGAAAAAAACAATACAGACACTGAAACAAATCTGCTTTCATTAATAGATATTATTTCCCTTTATGAAATTCTTTCTCATGAAGATAACAAAGGAGAACAAGGCTCAAAAAAACTAAAGAACATAGTTGTATTTGGGTTGCTTTTTATTGCTGGCAAATACCTACAATCCAGGCATCACATTGCCTCATAGTACACTTGCCTGATCTCTGAGAGGAAGAGGGGTGTGGCAAGGTGTACGGCATTTCATTTATTTTCTGTGCTTTTGGGGTCTGATGTAGAAAATCGTTGCCCATTCCAATATTCTGATTCATTTTCTTGTCTCAGTAATGTCAAAGTTTCAGGTCTTACAATTGGGGCTCAAGTCTATTTTGAGTTGATTTTTGTAAATGGTGAGAATAAGGATTCTTATTTCATTTTGCCTGTAGGTATCCCATTTTCTCATCACCATCTATTAAAAATAACATCCTTTTTCCAATGTATTTTCTTTTTTAATATTTTATTTACTTATTTGAGAGGTAAAGTTATAGACAGAGAGAGAGAGACAGAGAGAAAGGTCTTCCATTCCCCTGATTCACTCCTCCAAATGGCCACAAAGGCAGGAACTGAGATGATCTGAAGCCAGGAGCCGGGAGCTTCTTCCAGGCCTCCCACATGGGTGCAGGAGCCCAAGCACTTGGGCCATTTTCTACTGCTTTCCCAGGCCATAAGCAGAAATCTGGATCCAAAGAGGAGCAGCCAGAACATGAACTGGTGCCCATATGGGATGCCAGGGCTGCAGGCAGAGGCTTAATCTGCTATGCCACAATGCTGACCTCCAATGCATTTTCTTGACACCTTCTTCAAAAAAACACTTAGATGTAGATATGTGGATTTACTTCTAGGATTTCTGTTTCATTCCACTGCTTGATGAATCTATTTTCATGCAAATGCCATGCTGTTTAATTACTTACCTTCGTGATATATTTTAAGTTCAGATAGTGTAATGCCTCCTCTGTTTTTCCCCCCTCAAAATCACTTTGGCTATTTGGAGCCTTTTGATTCCATACAGATTTTAGTAGTGTGTTTTTGAGTTCTGTAAAAATATCATTGGTATTTTAATACAAATTGCATGGACTCTAAATCATGTTGTGTAGTATGCACATTTTAATGATATTGATTATTCCAATCCATGAATATGGGATGTCTCTCCATTTCTTTGTGTATTCTTCCATGTTTTCATCAATAACATATTGTTTTAATTGCTAGAGAACTTTCACCTATTTGGTTAAGTTTATTTCCAGGTATTTTATTTTATTTGTAGCTATTGGAAATTGGACTGCTTTCGTTGTTCTTTTTTCACATGATTCACTATTGGTAAACAACAATGATATTGGTTTTTGTGTACCAGCTTTGTATCCTGCAGAATTTCTTTATTAGTTCTAAGAGCATTTTGGTGGAATCATTGAAGTTTTCTATATATAACATCATGTCATCTGCCAACAGTGACAGTTTGAATACCTCCTTTCCAATGAGATGCCCCTTTTCTTTCTTTCTCTTGCCTAATTGCTCTAGCTAGGACTTCCAGTTTGTTGTTGAATAAAAGTGGTAAAAGTAAGGATCCTTATCTTGTTCCAGATCTTAAAGAGAAAGTCTTCAGCTTTTTCCCATTCAATATGATATTAACTCTTGGATTGTTATATATGGCCTTTACTATATTGAAAATTTTCCTTCTGTCCCTAATTTGGTCAAACGTTTAATCCTGAAGGAATTTTCTGCATCTATTGAAATGATCGTATGATTTGTTTTACTCCCTCATTCTGTCAGTGTAATATATCATATGTATTGATTTACTACCATTAAACCATCCTTGCATCCCTGGGATGAATTCCACTTGATAGTGGTGAATCGTCTTATAATATGAGGTTGGATTCTATCTGTTAGTATTTTGTGGAGGGTTTTTGTATTTTTGTTCATCAAAGATGTTGGCCTGCAGCTTTCTTTTTTGTTCCTGTGTCCTCTGATTTTAGTATTAAGATAATGGTGATTTCATAAAATGAATTTAGAAAAGTTTCTTCCTACTCTTTTTTTTTAAAATAATTTAAGAAAGATTGGTTTTGATTCTTCTTTAAATTTTGATGTGATTCAGCAGTGACGCCATCTGATCTCAGGCTTTTCTTTACTGGAAGGTGTTTTTTTTTTATTTCAAATTCAAGTTTGTTGCTTATTATTTGTCTGTTTAGATATTCCATTTCCTCATGATTCAGTCTTGGTAAGGTGATTGTGCCCAAGAATTTGGTCATTTCTTCTAGGTTGGTTACTTAATTTCTTGCTATGTAATTGTTCATAGAAATCTTTAACAATATTTTGTATATCTGTGGTGTCACTCACAATGTCTCCACTTTAATCTCTCATTCTGTATATTTGAATCTTCTTTCAGTTGCTTGAAAGGCTTATCAATTCTGCATATCTCTTCAAAGAATCAACTTTTTATTGATTTTTTGAATTTTTAAAATCTATTAATTTGTGCTCTAAATTTTGTTATTTCTTCTATCAACTTTGGGTTTGATTTGTTCTTGTTTTTCTGTTCCTTTGAGGTGCAGTGCAAACTTGTTTTTTTGATATGTGTATATATATATATATATTTAGGTTTATTTTGTTTATTTGAAAGGCAAAGTTATAGAGAGAAAGGGAGAGCGAAATCTTCCATCTACTGGTTCACTCCCCAGATGATCACAACCATTGGAGCTGGGCCAGGCCAAAATCAGGACCATAGAACTCCATCCAGGTCTCCCATATGTTTAGCAGGAGACAAGCACTTCAGCCATCA